AATATAACATTGAGAGGTTAAGAGAGTGGGTTTGGGAATTACACCTGTATTCTTGTTCCAGCTCAGCTTTGTGGCCTTCATCAGTTCATTTAACCTATCTGTGCTTGTTTTCTCATCTATAAAATAGGGATATTAATAGCGCCCAAGCCATAGCAGAGTGGGTGCTGGTGGTCCTTTGGGGAGCACTGAAATACAGCATACCCGATGTACTTTAGCCAAATGAATGTGTCTTTCTACCTGGTCTGTTTTAAATCATCTGTTGGAATCCCCAGAGCACAATAAATAATAGATGTTCGAATGAATTAATAAATGAGTGAACATTTTCTTTAACCACAGCCCACTTGTTTTCATTTGATATTTGGAATAGCTGTCTTAATTCTGTTGTATTTTGTCAAATATCTGAATGAATGAGGTTAATTCTATATTAGGAAAAGAGCTGTTTTTTATTTGTGTATGTGTATGCCTCTGTGTATGTGTGTGTGTGTAACAGGATGAAACACATGCTGCCTTGCCTTCTGTGACCACCATGCACAGGTTCTTCAAGGAGTCCCGAAGCAGATGATGGAGCTCATGAGAGTGGCACATAGGAGAAGGACAGAAAGAAGAGCGAGGGCACCAACAGACATTGGCTTGAGCCAAATCTATTTCAAATTTTTAGCTCTGCCCCTTACAAGCTATGGGTCCCTGGGCAGGTAATAAAACTTCCCTTACAAGCTATGGGTCCCTGGGCAGGTAATAAAACCTCCATTTTCTTTTCTTTTAAGGCAAGGCAACCCTTGGTTGACCTCACAGATTGCAAGGACTTTGTCAGCTTACAATCCATTATTTTTTTATTTTTTACACCTACAGCACCTGGTCTTCCTAGGTGATCTCTCATCCAAGTACTAACCAGGCCTGACCCTGCTAAGCTTCCAAGATCAGACGGGATCAGGCTTCTTCAGGGTAGCATGGCTGTAGACTCCATTTTCACATTTGTGAAACAGAAATAGTAACTGCTACCTTCCAGAGATTCCTTATTCATTCAGTTACCTGTCAACTATTTGAATCCCTAGTGGATGCTCGTGTTACTCTGGACATTTGGGATACTGTAGGAAACAACACACACAGTATCTCTGAACTAAGATAACTTAAAATGCTGTGGGAGAGATTGATAATGAATAAGAAAACAATTTAAATTTGGCTATTGTAACTGCTGTGACGAAAATGAAAAAAAGATGATAGGACAGTGAAGGACAACTTTAGATGAGGGGTCAGGGCAGACAGTTCTGCCTGGTGAGTCACTGGGCTTGAGATCTGAACAAGGAAAAAGAGTCAGTCTTGTGACGATCCGTCCATCCCAGGTAGATGAATTAGCAGCTATCAAAGTCCTGTGGTAGAAGGAGTCTGATACCTTAGATATAGGTTGTTGAAAACTCATTAAGTGTATTACATAGGCAGGGTGGCTGTAGCAAAGAGCTGGAGGGATGCGATGAGCTGGATTGACAGAAAGGCTGGGCAGACATGCTGGATCCTACAGAACAAATTAATCTTGGTCTCAATCTTCAGAGCAATAGAAAGTTATTAGGGTTTTTGAAAATCATTAAAATTTTTTAATCGTGGTAATATATCTATATAATATAGAATTTACCATCTTAACCATTGTAAATATATAGGTCAGTGTCATTAAGTATATTCCCACAGTTGTGCCACTATCATCATTCATCTTCTGAATTTCTTTCATGTTGCATAACTAAACCTCTGTACTCCTTAAACAATAACTCCTCATTTTTCTCCACCCCAGCTGCAACCCACCCCCAGCCTCTGGAAGCCACCAACCTGCATTTCTGTCTCTATGAATTTGATAAGGATTTTTACAGAGCTAGTCAATACGTATTTGTTCTGTGCAACCCGGATTCAACCTTGAACAAAACAACTAGAATCCCTGCCCAGGAATTATACTGTAGTGGAGGAGACAGACACCAAACATGATAACAAATAAATAAAGTGTTTCAGGTACTGATAAAGAATGCTATGAGAAAACCAGGAAAACATAGTATAAAGCGAGTGGAAGTGAGTGCTTCTGTCAGAGTGACCAAGAAATGACAATTGAGTTGAGACATTTCATGTCGAAAAGTTGGCAAACCATGGTTAAGATCTAGGAGAAGAAGTATTTTAAAGATGGAAAACTACCAGAGCAAATTTTCTGAGGTGGGTGGGAACTAGGGCCATGTTTGAGGGCAGAAATATCATGGGAACATAGGTGACAAGGGAAAAGCAACATTATGCTTGTGTTTTAAAATGATTGCTGTGTGCAGCTTGGCAAATGCAATGGAGAGGAAAAAATATAGGTTGTTGAAAACTCATTAAGTGGGCAATTGGTCAGGCTCTAAATGATGGTGGTTAGGAGCAGAGTGAGATAGAAGCATACAGATTCAGGAAATATTTAGAAGGTATAATACTGAAATGAACTGGGTATGAGCGTGGTGAATAGGGTGAGGGAGATACTAGACTGAGAAGTTAGGTTGTTGCAGTCTTTCAAGTGTGACTTTGTAGAGCTTTAACTAAGTAGGAGGTAAGGGACCTAGAGAGAAAGGCACCAATTCGAGAGTCCCCCATAGGTCTCTTTTTCTTTTTAACCATTCTTCATGGGATGTGTTGGAGTCACACTCATACGATCATTCCCTGGACATTTGTAAATGTCCCTCTGAAAAGCCAAAAAGCCAGAACAGGGCAAACTCTGGTCAAAACACAATCTCCCTTGTTCTCAACATTATCCTTCTACTGAACACTTCTAAGATGGCATCATCCTATTTAGATAACCATAACAACAGTTGACTCCTTTTGAGATAGCAATTGATTGAAACTTCTAAGTCAGAGATTACATACATAAATGCCTGCAAGAGCCAGGCAGGTAAATGTGAGAAGCTGTGGGGTATAATAGGAAGGAGTGGGGATAGTGGTAAACTGTAGGGTGCTGAACCAATCAAATTTTATTGAACTTCATATTTTTAAGAAGCCTTATGCACTTAAGATTGTGGTCTGCAGATCATATTTAGCCTGTGAATCACCAGTTTGCTGCCCCCAGAGATCTTTTTATATATACTTAGCATTCAGCATTTGGCAAGTGAAATCTTTCTCATCAGTGGTCCTAAAGCTGATTTCCCCCCGAAATTTTAACTTAAATGTGTTAACTTGCATGCTATTGGCTTTTGACCAATTATTAAATTGATTTTGCATCTTATCTCTATCTGGTTGCATCCTAACCTTACCTAGCAACTTGTAAGCCCTCTCTGCAAAATGGAGAAGCAGGGATTCTGGGTCTTACTCCAAGTTTTGAAGCGATAAACACACAGAACAGGGCATTACGATGTGCCTTAGTGACCTGGAATCATTTAAAGATGGAATCCTTTTGAAAACAAATGAGTCTAGCGAGCTGACCATTTCCTGATGATTCCTCACAAATTCTGGCCACCCCAGATTTATCAGGATTTGAGAGGCCTTTGCATGTAGAGGAATATGAATTGGAGACTTTTCTCCTTGCTCAAGCAAATCTCCTTCCTGGAGCTTTTGTCCTTTGAGAGAAGAAGGTGTCACTTTACAAATCACTTAGCAAATATTGGGTCGTGAGGAAGTAAATACAGGGCACCTAGAAACAGGATATTTCTGTGAAGAAGATGCCTGAACATGAGGGTGCCAATCCCTAGAAGTCAGCAAAACTCAAGGACTGGAGCGAGTGTCTCTGAAGAGGCAAGAGGCTTCCAAGTAAATGATGCTTTTTTTTTCATTTGCTTTTTGTGTTGATTGCTGCCCCAGGTTGGTATCTTTAACTTTGGACTCATATCATGTAGCCTTGGAATAACTACTTGATTTGCTTTCACTTTCTTTAGTAAGTTATCACTGTTGATCTTAGAAGTTTTCAAGTGCACTGGGCTATGCTACATTGGAAAATCTACATTTCAATCAAAGTGTCCTTTCAGATGCACTTAATCTGAGTGTTATCTGGTGCAAATTCTTTGAAGGGGAGTTTGTCAATATCTACCAGCATTTGAAATTTTCACAGTCTCAGAGCCAGTGTTCCACCTTTGGGAAGCTATTCTATGGAAATACTCACATAATGACATAAACGTAGATGTAGATCTATTTGTAATAGCAAAAACTGGAGGCAATTTACGTGTGTATCAACACAGGATTAAATGAATGGTCCTACAGACATACTATGGACATTAGAGCCCTTATAAGGAGGCAGAGCTGTATGTTCCTATGTGCAGGAAAAAGGTAATCCATGGTGTACTGTGGAATAGAGACAGGATGTCCTAAAACTATGAAGACAAGAAGAGTCCTTAAAAAAACAATCTATCTATATTCACATGCAAACAGGCATAGAAAGTTCTGGAAGAGGAGATGCCAAATATTTAACACTGGTTATTTTGGGAGATTGGAAGTGGAATGTTAGTAAAGCAGCAGAGGTGGGAAGGAATAAGTAGAATATTAAAACATTTTACTTTATGCATTTTATATTGTTTGATTTTTAAAAGATGAGCATGTATTACATTAAACTAAAAAAATCAAACCCAAGAATTAAAAAAAAGAATTACCCGAATTTTGAAAGCATAGTACCAAAATATTGGTTTAAGTGATTTTTTTCCTTACCTTTGCATGGATTGGCTTCATAAAACAACTCGATTGATGAATTTAGCCATTTGCTTTAGAATTAGTCACTTTTGGAGTTGGATGAAAGCCAAACAGTAATAATTGTCAACAAAAAGTCATGTAAAGTTGTAAAGTATGTTCAATATCCTAAGAATAAATGATGAATGAGTATCTTAAAACAGAAAAAGCTTTCTAATTTAGGCATAATTAAATTTAAGATTTCCCAAAATAATAATATTTGCAAAAACAGTACTGAGCTTCTATAGCTGTGGTGCCCAATATGGTAACCACTTATGATCATTAACCACTTGAATGTGGCTAGTCTGTATT